GATCCTACCCACGACGTGCGCGACACCAGCAGTCGCGCGTATGGACGCCTGCCGGTACGACTTCCCACGCGCTGTAACTAGCGTATCGTCGGCGTAACAAATGACGCCGACGCCGTGGAGTAGCGCACCGCGCAGAGCCCAGTCGTAGCCAACGTTCCACAAGAGCGGCCCCAACACCGAACCCTGCGGAACGCCGCACGACGTCTCTCGCCGACCCCATCCTTCTCGACCCGGGTACACCACCGACCTGTCCGACAAATAGGCCCCGACAATGCGTTGGAGGTAGCGCGGCACCCCGTGATACCGGAGTGCCTCTCGGATGGTACTCCAGGGCAAGGTGTTGAAAGCGTTAGCGATGTCGAGCGACACCGCCAAGACCACCTCACCCCGGGCGACTGCCTCCTCTGCCAGGACCCTCACGCGCATGATCGCATCCACTGTGGAGCGCCCCTGGCGGAAACCAAATTGGTTGTCCGCCAAATCCGGCCCCACCCTGGTCATGTGCTGGACGAGGCGGCCGGCAATGATCCGCTCGAAGATCTTACACACCTCGTCCAGCAACACGATCGGCCTGTACGCAGATGGGGAGTCCGCGGGGCGCCCCGCCTTCTTCAGCAGGACCAGCTTTCCGGTCTTCCACCGGCTTGGAAACTGGCCCCGCTCCAAACATGCGCTTAAGAGCCCCACTAGTCGCGGCCAGAGATTTCTCAAAGCCAGGATCCATGCACGGCCTGGAATGCCGTCGGGCCCTGGGGCGGTGTTCTTGATGCGAGCCACCGCCACTCTCAACTCTACCCGGGTCACTTCGGGCACGTCGTCGTCAGTCTCGTTGTCCGCGTCGGGCGAATCATGAGGCGGAACCATAGCCGGTGGTGTGTGCTCCGGTCTTGTCGGAAACAACCCACACACCACCTCCTCCAGCAGCTGCGGCTGGAGACTCCGGGACAGTGGGGGGGGCCCATTGGCGCAACTTGCCCCGTACCATAAGGTAGGGGCGTCCCCACGGATCTCGGTCCAGAGTCTTCAGCAGCTCTGCATTGGCCTGGGCCTTTGCCCGGACAATGGCCAGCTGGAGGGCGCTTTTCGCCTCTCTGTAGTGGTTGTACAGTTCCGCCTCTTCCTGTTCGGCCGCCGCTGTAAAGGGGCGGCGACGTCTTCTTCGGAACCTTGCATACTGGCGTCGCACCTGCGCACAAGTGGTGCGTAGTTGCGCAATCGACTGCGACCACCAGTATACTTGGCGCCTGGATGGTAGCGGCCGGACTCGGGGCATGCTAGCGTCGCAGATGTGCGACATGCTCTCCCGGAACCACTCTGCCTCATCGTCGATGTCACTAGGCCTGTCTGGAGAGTCCAACCAGGCCTTGACAATAGAAGCCTCCAGGAGAGCCTCCCTGTCCAGCCGCTTTAGCGCCCAACGCGGACCATCTCCAACACCCACCGGGGTCGCTTGGACTGGCCCAACCGAGGTCTGGGCGGAGACGCTGAATCGAATATATCGATGGTCGGACAGCGTCTCTACCTCCTCCAAGACATGCCAGTCCTGGACAGTGCGTGCGAGAGTGGGGCTAGCAAAGGACAGATCCACTATAGACCCACCTCGCTGCCGCACGCACGTCTGCACGGAACCCCGGTTGAGGAGAAGCAGGCCCTGCTCGACCGCCCACTCCTCCACTAACTCGCCCCGTGCATCCGTAGCCGGGGAACCCCAAGCCGTAGATTTCGCATTGAAGTCCCCTAAAACGATCACGGGACGAGGATGGCTGCGACTGACGACCGTGCCCAGTTCTGAGATAATATCCTCCATGTCGGCGAGAGATAGGCTGGGGGGTATGTAATATACCTATTATATATTCAGGTTAGTTTACTTAAATCTATTAAAATATCCTGACTGTTAGAGGGACTTCAGGTCAATACTGGTGTAATACAATGAATAATTCCAATAATTTAATAATTTCACCGCACGCGTGACGCAGTAGCTGTGCAACTGACTACTGTGCAACGTGTCGCGTGTAGGATTCCCTCATGGAACAACACTTTGTGCGATCCACAAATTGAATTCGGGTCTGGGTGGCTTATGTATGTTTGTAAACCCATCCACGATACAGGAGTAAACCCAAATGCGGGAAAACGTTTCTCTAAATAAAAAAAGAAAACATCATACCAAATCATAATATTATGCGCTACCCTTTTTTTATGGTATAAGTCGGCAAACGAGTAGACGGATTACCTGATGGTAAGGAATCGGCGCTGCCCATGGACACCCGCAACACCAAAGGAGTTACGAGTGCGTTGCCGGCCTTTTGGGGATATGGGTTGCGGATATAAGGATCGGGAAGGGATAGGGGAAGGGGCGGGATAGGGCCTCCGGCAACCTCAATCACACGGCGAAAAACAACGCTGTGGTTGTTTCACGCCGGTGATTGCGGTGCCGGTATTCTGTGAGGCAGTGGTATCACTCCGGTCGAGCCGACCCTTTCGTGCCGAAGCTTGGCTCTCCCACCCTGTATAAAATAGACATTACAAACGAATATTGTGATAAAATACTGACCAACCTCAACCTACTTGATAAAGAGGCAGAACAAAAATATTCAAGAAGCCTTCCTATTTCAAAAACGCACATATGAATAACATAAAAAAGAATTAGTTGACTGTTGTTACACTTATTAATAACACTCGGTAAAGAAAAAAACTCAATACACTTCAAAATGATTGCTCATTATTCTAAAGTGGTCTTTGACGATAAAGATCTGCGTGCAACGCATTGGAAAGGCGCAAGGCAATTATTACGTTTTGCATTGCGTAGATGGATAATTTACTCTATTATACGAAATGATTTTATGAATGAGTATTACTTATTTGATTGCACGCCACTGAGCTCGATGTCCAGCTTTTCTCATCCAACCACTGCCAACCACTCTGTGTACCTGTACTTATATCGTCACACAGTTCATCTAGCTTTTTTTTTTTGAGAGTGGAAAATCATCAAATGGCTTCTCCCGTCCAGGGCTGGGCGGGAGGGAGCGTCAGACTCTTACTGACTTAAAACCCCCCTGTTCCTTCTCCTGCTCTGGGCTGAGGACGCGGTGCCTCATTGCGCTTACCCCGCAACCCTGGCTGAACATCAGCCCTATTGGGCCCCGTCTGTGGTGGTCTATTGGCTCTCTGAGACGCGCGCGGAACGCTACGCGCCGTACGCTCGGGCAGTTCATCTAGCTGGAGTGCGCCTACGTTTGCCCAGACGTGGTCTCCATTCTAGAACACGTCTACTCCAACGGTCATCGGTTCTTCGAGAGATGTGACCTATTTAATTGACTGCCGACAGATAACTGGTGAGGGCAAACCCTCCGCTAGCGTGTTAATTACATTCTTAAGTAATTAAGGAATTTTGTTGATGAAAGACGACACGGTTAAAATATTTATCTACTAAACACCGCATAACAAATAGAGGAGAGCCATACTTAGGCACCAATGTGCTCGACTGGATTAAGGGAATGATTCCACGGCGTTACAAAAACAAACTTGAAACAATGCGTTGTGTTACACGGTGTGAGTGAGATTACCAGAGGTCCAATTCTTTCCCTCATCCAATCCCTTATCCTTATCCTTAGAAGGTCAGCAAAATACTCGTAACTTCTCATTTGTTGCCTGTGTTCATTACCAGCACCGTTTGCTTCCCATCAGCTAGAAGGTCTGTTCGTTTGACGTCCTATCGCATAAAAAAAAGAAAAACCATAGTTGTTTACATCAATAAAAAGTTGTGACGCCATTAAAGTTAGATACATGAATCATTAAAAGAAACCATTCATCATTGTTTTGTTAGGAAATAAATCACTGGTTTACCCCATAGCAGTAGGTACCTACCATAATACGTGATCTTCCATTAAATCTAAAGAAAACCTTGATTTTATTTTTAACCATTACTTTAATTAGCGGCACATATTAGTCTTTGACTGTTAATTCATATACGCGTTTAGCATAGACCTACCAATAAATTCCAAAATCTATGACACGCATTTTTTTAACAAAAAAAAGCAAATGCGTAAATCTTCAAGAAATGTTTTCCCGCTCACACTTCAGAATTGAAATTTTAATTTAGTTTTTTTTAATCTAATAGCACCTTTATTCTTTACACTGCCAAAGACAAAACGATATCTTTTTTTGTCAGATGAAATAATAATACTCAGCCCCATTACTTTTGGCACCAGTACCTCAGGTACTCATAATTGGTTATTTATACCATTCCTAGTTTAGTTTATGTGCTAGAAACATAAAATACGCACTTATTATACAATTACGGAGCTTTCTCAATACCCTGTCCCTACTTACGTAAGACTTGTAATAGCAATTCCTGCTTCGATCAGGTACACGTAATACCTAGCTCAGTTACCGACCAAGTTTTACATGGTAAAATGTCTAGATATTTACGACAGCCTAGCGTAACGTCGTGTGGAAACCAGTAACTAGGAGATAAACCTGTTAATTATTAGGTTGCATCATCAGAAAAAAAAACTTTTACCATTAATAAATAAAGATTTTATTTTTAATCATCACTTTGATTAGTATTGTTGAAATGAGGTTGTGTATAAAAAAGCTATCATTTCAATATCTTTAACATAAGAACATGATAAAAATCACAATCTTAATGGGGTCTGTCTTTATGAAGTTAGGTACCTATAGCTAGGTTACAGCTTATATGAAAACTCAATCAGAAAGTACAAATAATAGTTTTATACAAAACTATAAATTGAGATAAAACTAATAAAAATTGCTCACGAGGTATGAAGCTAAAATACCAACGATTGCAGATAGTGTTTTCTTTGATAAAATCCAGAAAAATATACTTCTATTGCATTCCATTAGCTATAAAAATAATAATCAATTCGCGGTTTGTCCCAAATACTTATTATCTACATCTGCATTCAGGAAAATCAAGGTGAGTGGCTGTAACGGTTCGCGCCTTCGCCGAAGGAAAATGTTGCCTGCATTCGTTAATCGAACGCGAAACGGAACGCACCGGCCGTCAATAAAGTAGTTTCAAATTTCGAAATCGTGTTTTGATCATTTGTTTTCGTTTATCTGTGCGACAATTTTAGTGGCGGGAAAAGTTAATTTTATTGAGAAAATGACTATTTACAGTAAAATTGTTCAAATTATATTAGTTAGTGTGTGATGTGGTTCGGAAAGGATATCAGGATTGAAGGTTTGTAACATCATTAAATTTTAAAGTACATATTTTATTTAGGAAATAGGTTAATAACTACCGACACATTTTTGAATAGCCATTATATAATTCATTTGTAAATCTTAACATAAAATTTATGACGTTACTAATAAATTTTTAGAACGTTATATTTCAGTACCTATAAATAGTTAAAGTAAAACTGTAAACAAATGAACGTCAGCATGGTCAGCATCTTTTTAAAAATTGGCGAAACGGTAGTTTCCAACTAGTCAAATTCAATAATTTTATCCAAATGTCAAAAAAGTATCGTTTTTGAATCTCTCTATGATATTTGTATGAAATAATGAGCTATGACGTCATAGTGTTTTTGCGTCAAATAGCTTACTTATTATTTTAAATTAGCTAAAATTATTGTATCGATCGGTCGATGAATAAAAGTATAGAAATATATTTTATATTTATACTTATTTATTATTCATGTATTATATTAAATACATGTTATTTATTTAATCAAGGATATGTTACATATAGTTTTCATTACATTTATTTATGTCACCTGCCACTTCCCTCTGCACCACCTAAATTATTTAGTTAAAACCTAAGTTATTGAGGCCACTTGTATATAATTTCGTGTATAAGTTTTAATAAATAAATATAAATAATGTATAGGCGTTTGTGAACATCGTCGATTCACGTTGAAATGGGGTGGCCTGAAGTTTTGCAGAAATAACTAATATAAAACTGTGTATATTCAGCTATATTCGTTGTAGTTAATTCAAACTATATAGTTTACAAAGTGACAATAGTAAAATAATATCACTACATAGGTACCTATTTGATGAACGCAGCATAAAAATGTGTTATATAAAAGGTACTTACCCAGTGAAACGCATTTGCATTTAAACTGAAAAATTATATCCGTTCTAGCTAAATGAGCAATAAACAATAAACAGCATTTCTCGAGTTTTAGCGGGACTAACAAACAGCAATTTATTTTTAAATAATTATAAGTTATCGTGATAGTTATTTGCTGTTGCTGCCATAGGCACCTTTTTGCTTAGATACATACTTTTGGTTATACATACTTGTAACGTAGGTACCTATTTACTAGTTTTTGTATTACTGTTAGTGTTCAAAAAACGGCTATGTGCGAGTCTTACTCGGCCATGAATGGAATGGTTCCGTAGCAGCAAGCAAAATACTTTTTAGCAAGTAAAAAACTTTACGATTGATGACAAATATTTAAAAAAACTTATAACCAGATCTCGTTCTCAAACCAGTTTTCGGTGGGAGATTGCATGGTAATAAACATCATATTATATTTTTAGTTTAGATATTCTCTTATTTAAGTTGTTATAGGGACAAGCACACACACACATTCACTTTTTACTCGATCAACTATTCAGTCAACCTAACCATAGACAGAAAACGTATGGTTTTCGACGAAAAAGAAAGACGGGTGTCACTTCGAAGTAAGGGAAAACTCTAATAATTGCTTTTTTATTTTATGCAAAAATCTGAATCTATACCAAGTTGTGCCAAGTTTTTACAAAATGAGGTTTTTATTTGATAAAAAAGTAAAAGTGACTGCTACTTAACTATACGGACAGCAAAACATCAGAAACGGATAAGGTTTCCTTTTTCGCCATTTGAGAGAGAGAACCCTATGCTAAATGAAATCTGTGCAGAAATTCTTTATCCATTTAGGTTTTTTCCCTTACTGAGTTGAATACATCCCATAGTTAAAGCATTATAGTTTTTATTACACGTCTAGTATTATATGTTAGAATACGTCAATCAGTAAAAACAAGAAACAGGTACTTTGTAGTCAATTGTCATTATGCATCTAACTAAGAAATAAAGTCGTTAGCGGTGAATAATTGAAACGGTTTGTTTGTATATTTACTAGTTTTACCATCATCATCATTATCATTATCACCACATCGCAAATGTATCTTCTTAAACAGAGAAGGTTAGGGCATACTTCACCAATCTTGATCAAAGCGAATTTGCTTGATTGGAATCCAAACTTATAAATAAATCTAAAAAAACCAGATTTCCCCTTGTTGTTTTCTTTATCGGTCACTCAGGGATACCTTAGAGCGAACATACATATAACTCAAAAAAGGTCACATTGTACTTAACAGGTTTGGCATCCGGACTTTTTTATTTTTATGATAATCATATCATTTGCTCATGGGTGGAGCCGATATCCTACCACGAAATGGTCTCTTGTTCGCTACGCACGCTCCCTCACAATTGAAAAAAACATCGTTATTCAAATGTTTCTAGGGTACAATAAAGGTACTCTGAACTGGGTCTCTCTCTCACTCTTAATTGTTTGGGTTCGGCCAATTTACTAGGTACTGAGATGAAAGGACTTTTCATCTCAGCACCGAGTGGCTCCTACTTTCCTGATCAATTTTTACTTAAAAGAACCTTACGTACATACTTATGAGAATCTAGGAATTAAAAAATTAATAGGCAAAAAAATACAACACAAAAAAAAATTAAATTAAATCGACCTTGTGTGAGACTGACCATAAGAATAGGATACACAATCACTACTATTAATACTATCACAAGCTAAAATTAAATGATATTTACAATGACTGACAAACAAACAACTTTATGCAAACTACTTAAATTGGATTTGATTCGTCGACCTCTCCGACCCAAGACAAGTGAGATTTTAAACACGTGTGTTATAAAATACATATACATATGTATGCAGACTGTGATAATGCCACAACAGAGAAGATACAAAGTTCGGAATCCGATTCCCGGCACGGACATTAAACCTTACTTCTTCTGACAGATGCAATCTAGATTATTGACTCTAGAAGATAGATCTCTTCTTTAATGTAGATGGCCATTTTATTCAGGATATAAAGTAGATTGCTAGTGGTCGTTCAGTTTATTGGAGAACCACTAGGTATCTAGTTCAAATTACCTACAATCGCTAAAAGTTACTCGCCTTGTGCAAAGTGTACACTAACATCCATGTACAAACACTAAAATAAGTGCTTGGTCAATTGGCACCGAAAACTCATTCATAACATACCTCATCGCAAATGATCAATCAAAGAAACATAGAATTTCGAAAAAAATAATACTACTTTCCAAGTGACTAATTTTGAAAGTACTAATTAATACATTAACAATTTATATCGAATATTAATTGTTTTCCTAGTTTAAAATTATGTAGTGTTTCTTTTCCTGGTAGAAGAAATCAAGGTAGCAACAGGTGGGCTTGGTCACACTACTACTACAATTCAAGCGAAATATGGCTATGCAATAATTTTGTTGATTGTACCTACCTACTTACATATTTATATGGAGTCCGGATGTTTGGCGCTCGATATTTCAACTTCCTCTACTTATTTGGTATTACTTAGAATTCACTATCTACCTAACAAAAGAAACAAGTTGAGTAACTCTGTGCAATCAACAATAAATCCTTTTACCAGGTATTCACTTGTGTTCCTGCACAGAGTATTTATTTATTTTACGTTGACAATATTTAGTAATCATATGTTTAATAATCCTTACCTTTCTTCTTCTGATGACTCAGCAAATATTCGATATTTTCCTTCCTTGTAAGTTTTTATAATGTATTTATTTACTCTTATCGAAGGTTCACAGATAAATAATGCACAATCAAAACAATTTTGTAAAAGGCATATATATGTATGCCTTAACTTTTTAGTAACTACCTAAACTTTAAAGTTAAATCAGATAAATAATGCACAATCAAAACAATTTTGTAAAAGGCATACATATGTATGCCTTAACTTTTTAGTAACTACCTAAACTTTAAAGTTAAATCAATGTATCAAATAATATTTTGGCTTAAATTTTATGTTTACTTGCTGAAACATAAATCAATGCACACCAAACCCACAAGACAAGTTGAAATTAAGTATATTATGCAAAACTCCTTCATACATTTACCACATCGCAAACAAATAATACCTTAAGACCCGTGTATTTCAAATGGTAGTTTTTTACGTAGTAACATATTTATTTGTATTTAAATTTCGTAAGTGAAGAAAAATCACCCTTGACATCGACTTTACATGTACTACGTATGTGCTTACATACATACAGCCTACAGCCTCTTTTTAAAAACGCAATACATAGTTTGGAATAATGTATAATAAGGAGTCCCTTAAATGAGTTTTAAACATAATATTTATTTTGAATGTTAAAATGTTTTAAAGTTATCAAGCCAAGTGGCACTCTAGATCTACAGTAAGACCCTTACGTAACATTATAAGTAATTTTAATTGATGTCTTTGTCAAACACTTGACGCATTTAGATGAATGGTTAACACTCTTGTACAGCTCTAGTGTTTCAGCTTACATTTGCATGGGCGGCGCAAACCACTTATTATTTGTGTGTTCTTTTGCCGTAATTCCATAACCAGCCACCGGCCACCTTTCTACAATCATTTGCCTCTAGTCGTGACCATTTATAGATCTTCAAACTTTCAAACAATTTATTTTTGAACAAAACTATAAATAACGTTTACTGATACAATATTGTGAGAGCCTAAAATTTCAAAATCAATTATTATCCTATTCAGAGGTGAATGGCAAAGCTAAATTAAATGACATGTAGATTACGACTATGTTACATATAACAACTGCAAAGCATTGTAAACGGAACATTGACGACTGGAAGTTATTTATTTCTTAGCCTACATTTAAGGACGGGTACATATTAAGTGGGACATGACCTAAGTATATAGTTTTCTTTTTGAGGGTGAAAATCATTGTCACTTCTCCGGCCTAGGGTATGGCGAGAGAGAATGTCAGACTCTTACTAACTAAAATCCACCCCGTTTCTGCTTCTGCTCCAAGCCGAGGCCGCAGTACCGGGTATACTCCGGGTACTCCGGTACCGGGGTATTACTCCGGGTATACCCGGTACCGCGGCTTCGGCTGGTATACTCGCCTGGTTGGCCTCGGGTATAGCTCAAAAAGAGCTTGACCCGCGACCCCGCAATATACCT